AAAATCCCTTATACAATAGTATGATTAAATTTATCTTCAAACTTTTATATCATCAAATAATCCATTATATAGTAATATGGGATCGTCCATAAAGTAAATAACGCAAAATTAAACTTATAGACAATAAACAAAGTATTTTATTAAAACAAGTATATAAACAACCAACTAAGTCTAGCGAAAACCGCCGCCTAAAAGAGCAAAATGATCTTTAAAATAATTAAAAATTATTATATGGCGTTAAAAAAATATTGTATCAAATAATTTATAACAAAGTACTATTAATGATAGTACTTTAATAAAAAATATTTGATATAATATTTTTTTAATGCTAAATATCTTTCCTAGTCAAATTTATCACTAACTAAAGTTCAAAATATTTATCTTCAATAAACTACAACGTTAATTTCTGTATAATGATTTTATAAAATTACAATGACGTAAATATAGTTTTAATGAAAATATCCATCTCGAAGCACATTATTACGCGTACTAAAAATTTTTGTGATAATTTACGGAACAGAACATAGACTATAAACCCGTGTATTGTACGTCAATTACAATATTGCAATTTGCGTCATCAAGTCTAGTAGATATATTTCGTTTTAAGCTTCGAGATTTCAATTTCTTAAAATTTTAATTGTTTTTTAAATGTTCTTTGACTTTAAATTAAAGGGATTAATTTTAGTTAATCTAGTTAAAGGATACATATTTGTACCCAGGCTCTTATTATTACAATTTTTTGCAAAGCATTTTACTTATCATAAGCATGAACCTTACTAAAGTTTTAAGTTTTCTATAAACGATGTAATTGTTATATCACAGTTTTTTAAATATCTCCATTGATTATATATATATATATACTAGCTAAACACCCAAGAACATAACAAATATTAAAATAGCCAGATACAATAATATAGTTATTTACAAAACACAACCACAGCAATCTTTTGACGCAATAAAATATACAGTTTGTACACAAGACAAAAAACTGGCAGTAATTATATTTTCACAATGCCTAATAATATTATATACACAGCTTAATAAAAGCATGGGTTAGCCACTGCTGTGTCTATTAATATGTGGTAAATGTTTTGGAATATCTAATATTTGATTGTCTCTAAGACGTATTTTATATGTCTCATTTTTAATTCTTTTATCTCAATATTTTGAATAATAATCAGAATAATCAACTGCATCTAAAATATATATCTGAAAAAAACTTAATATGCGTTTGAGAAAGGTCTAAAATGTAATTGTTGTCTAATATGTGGGATTAAAAGTCACTTCATTTATATAAAAAGATTTTTTATAAATATTAAGATATGAAAGACAACCCTCTTTACAGATAGTTGCTCTGATAGTATATTAGAATACATTTGGTGTTGTATTTCGTAGTATACTAGAATACACTTGGTGTTGTATTTTAAAAGTAAGTAAGTATTGTAATATTAACTATTTTTTTGCTTATTATTTTTATTATTAAAGTTACTATTATTGTTTATCAATATGTATAGGGAACAGTATTACGTTCAAAGATAAATGCAATATTAATTAAAATAGATATATGCATGTTTTCTTTAAAAAAATAATTAACAGAAGTTTGATTCATAAAGATAAATTAGAAAAATATTTCAAATCAACAAGAGTAAGTTAAAAAAAAATGGTCTTACCTTTGTAACATTATACTATTTCAGAAACAGATTTATAAATTATAAATATAGTTTAATAAACATAAATTTATAGTAGAATAAATAAATGTGAATAAATGAAATTGAATAACTGTCAGATAAAATGAAATGTTTAACCAGTAAGACTTTTACATTTTTTTCTCATTTGTACAAATAAATTTATTTAGAACGAAGAATCACAAAAGAAATGAAATGTTTTGATTGACTGAATAAATAAATTTTTTTAATACCAATAAGAGCTGGAAAAAACTTTTTATTATTTTAGAAAGTTGGCTTTTTATTATTTCAGGAAGTGTATTTTTCGGGTTTTTTAGTTTTAATTTGAAATGCTAGATATCATTATCAAAATGCAGCTGAACAAGAACCTTTTCGAATGCAATTCAAAATGTTTTTCATAAATAAACTTAATTTAAAAAGAAATATTTTAATATAAATATAAATTTTAATATAAAAAGAAAATCAGAAAATTTGTTATTTCAAAAAACTTGAAAACGAAAAAACCAAGAAATTCTATTTCATTTGTTTTTTTAAAAAAACCCAAAAAAACAAAAACTAAGAAAACACACTTTGCCCAGCCCTGACATCGATAGGTTAAAAACAACATCACACACATATACAAGAATATAGGTATTGATATTTGAAAGATTTATATTTAAAAATGCATTAGGGGCCATCCGTAAAGTCCGTTATCATTTTTTAGCCAATTTTTGACCTCCTCATCCTCCCCTTTTTCACCAAATGTCCTTTTTTCCTATAAACCCCTTGAAAATGACGTCATAAAATCCTGACTCTCCTCCTTATTTTTAACTCTAAAATTTTTAGCAGCATCATTGCGAGATGAAATAAAAATTCATTTTATCTCGCAATGATGCTGCTACTCCTTTGAAAAATAAAAATTAAAAATATTTTCATACATTATCTTCTCAAAAACACATGTTTACGTACTTTTTTGTCTTTTTTACCTCGACCCGCTCCCCCTTTTTGGATGATGTCCTTTATGGATGGCTCTTTATACAATAGTATAATTAAGTTTGTCTTCATATTATTTATATCATCATATAATCCATTATATAGTGATATGGGATCGTCCATAAATTAAGCATCGCGAATTTAAACTTATAGACAATAGACAAAGTATTTAACGTTTTCCCTCGCAGAGTCTTTAATTAAAGCAAGTATATAAACAACTTTTTAAGCCCAGCGAAAGCCGCTGCCCAAAAGAGCAAATTGATCTCCTACTTATAACTTTTAAATAAGTTTTGCGTTGCGTAAGTTATGGACGATCTTAATGAATAAATTTAAAAAACAAAAAAACCAAAATGTGCTTACAATGCGGCTTACATGTGGAATTATTTACACAAAATTTTCAAAAATATTGTAGAAGAGTTTCCCAGGACAAAATCTTTAGAGATTTTATATTAAAAAAATAACCACTATTTTCTATAATTAAAAAAAATCGCTACTATTTTCTGTGTTTGAATTTCTATAGGTCATTTATTTCTGAAATAAACGAAATTCAATAACAAAAAGATTATTATTTTTTTATTGTTATTTTAGATTATTGCAAATGAAAGTCTATAGAATTTTTTATAAAAAAAACTTACTGACGTTTGTTTTTATAAATTACGTTTAATAAAAATTTTAAACGTTCTGAACCTAAGAACATTTAAAAGATCTTTAAAAAACATTTAAATGACATTTAGAAAAAACAAATGCCCAAAGAGCTATTTTCTATAAACTTTTGAAACAAATGGTCTATTAAGATTTAACTACCGATAGTCAAAAGAATATTGCGTATAAATTGAAATAAAAATCTTTTGAAGTTTAATTAACTTTTTTTTTTTTTATTTGTCCTAAAAAATTTAATATATACCATCAAACGTAGACTTTAATAATTTTATCCGCTAATTACAAAAGTGTCGGCATATAAAAATCATTGAAAATTAACAGTCGCTTTTTTTCCTTATATTAAAATATATTTTTTAGATTTTCCTTAATTTAAAATACATTTTTTAGATTCTGTGGTTGTGATGGAACTCAAACTCGTGATTTAATTCTAACTCTTCCAAATGTGATGGGGCTAAATAGCCTATTTAAAAACTCATACTTATATGTTTAAGTCTATATTTCATGTATAAACCAGCGGAATATATTACTCATTTTTTGGTTACTTCCAATCACATTTTCATTTATATACTTTTTCAGAGAGTTTTCATTAATTGACATTTTAATTCTGTTGTAATTTTAACTTTTTAAATGGTTATTTTTACTTAAAAAAGACATAAATACATAAAGTCTTTTTAGATATACATAAACATTTGCAAGGAATATGAGAGTTTTTAAACGTAAACTGGGTTGTCAATTATATACACAGTATCTAACTGAATCAATGCAAAATACCTTGTCGTTTATCTCATCGAAATCAATGTCAATATTCAAAACATTAAAGTTTTATAAAAATATAAATGTGTTCTATCTGGTACTTTGCACAAAAAGAGCAAGCTGAGACATTGCACTTGTCTCAGAAACGTAAGACCCGTGGTTCGAACCCCACCTATGGGCAAGTTTTGCGACATCGGTTGGGAAGGAGGCGTGAACCTCCTATTAAATGCTCTTCCACGGTGCTCTGTGATAAGACCGTAAGGACTTCTTGGGGCACCTTAATCAACTTAAAAAAAAAAAAAAAAAAGACATTCAAAATTCGTCAAACCAGAGTATATCTCTATACCGAATACTGATATGAAAGGGTGCTAAAAAAGTTTAAAAAAAATAGTTTTATATAATATGGATATACAACTGCTGCTGAAAGCAGCAGTTGTATATTCATATTATATAAAACTATTTTATATAATATGGATATAATAAGTGATATACGGACAGAATAAGTGTCAAAAAATTTAAAAACAATTTGCCTGATTTATATTGGATAAAAATTTCCATTAATCGCAATACCTGTCAGCGAAAATAGCTGACAATGTAAAATAAGCTTGAGCCGAAATCAATCATTATTGACTTTGTTTATATCTTAATGATCTATAGGTTGTTCTACAAAACGTTCCTAAAACTAATATATTCATCAGCGATGAGACAAATGCGCACGATAACCGAAACTTTTAAGCAGTATTTTGTGAACGTAGAAAGACGTAGTCCTTGTTGCGTAGAAAGAAAAAAGCAGCATTCCATAAATACTGTTAGTATTACACATTTTAGGAGTGCGGCTGTTCAGTCACTTTCTCCCGTGGTTATTTATAAAGCAGTAAACTGCTCGTAGGAACTTTTTTTTTTTTTCCATTTTATAACGATGCTCTTGATTTATCACCAAAATGAAGAGGTAAGATCAATAAAAATAATAGAATCCTATAAAGAAGAGTTATAACGAAGAGTTATATGAATCAAAGAAGAGTTATAATGTTATAGCAGAAGAAAAAAAAAAAATCAGACGAGGCATGACAAGATGAAAAACCTAATAAAGTCACTCATTAACTAAATTTAATACATTCCACAAGAATCATAAGTTGAGTTTCTAATTTTAAAAATAACAGCAATCCTTTATTGAAAAATGTTTTCGTTTTATTTATCTATTGATAAATAAAAAAAATAATGTTGCGCATAGCTTTTTATCTGAGCTTCAAATAAATACACTATGAATGTTGAAATAATCCTTTTTTTTTTTAGTAAAGACTTTAATATTGATAATGTTATTAACACAGAGGACAACATTCATATCGCATGAGTATAAACTAAAATCAAAAAGTCAATTTTTAAGAAGGATTTTATTTGCTGCTTTACTTATACTTGAGTCAATCAACCTAAAAAGAGTTAGAAGCAATACAACGTTTAATTTATATACATTTTTATAACAATTATGGTTTTTCTAGAATTCTGGTAAATTTTTTTTTGACATTAGGAGCAAAATCCCATGATAAAAGGAATATTGGTATAACATTTATTTCTAGTATTATCTGAATATTGCTAACAGTATTACATCAATATGCAATATCAATATTTTTAAATATATAGCCAATAATAATTTACAATACCGGCTATTTACAATCTCGTTATTGTGCCAACATATTTTATCATTATAACCAACGCACAATGTGCCTAGGATTTGAAAAAATTCGTTTTTAATTTGTAAATAAAAAAATAAAAAATTGAAATTGAAGTATAAACATATACTTTGTGTCCTTTTGTTTGGACCTTTCAAATTTCAAAACTATGTGAAAGTATATTTCTTTGGTTAAATTGTTTAATACAACATAAGTTTTCTATTTTCATGTGTAAAAATTCCACTATCCGGTTGTCCCCGGAAATTTAAATATTTAAATCTGAATTTAAATTAAGTGCACGTATTTATATTCAAAGTTGTATGAATATGAAAATCAACATTTACTGATGGACCTTTAGCAGCATCAGCCCAGGGTGATATAGAAGATGAAAGAGCTAAACAGGGTAAAAGAAAACGTAAATCAAAATTAATAAGATGAAAATAGAGCTGTTGACATTATTTAAGTTTTTAGCATCATGTCATTTAGGACACTCTATAGCGTAATTTTACTTTTTGCAATACATTATCATCTAATTCAGTGATCGACCTAAAAGCAAAATGTCGGTAGAGGTATTTTGGCAAAGGTTGAATGATGTGGATGCTTTTACATTTTCTTTGATACCTGAGAATTTGAGAAGTAATGATAAGCGAACTTCATCTTCTGAGAAATGTATTATCAAAGATAATGTTGGATACTTTGTAGAGGGTAAGTTTGGACTTGATGGATCTGATTGGACTGATTGGAGGGTAAGTTTGGACTTGATGGATCTGAAAACCAAAGCTATTGTTATCCTTTTCCTAAGTCTCAAAACGCAGACTAAAAAAAACAAGTTTATTGTGTTTCTTTTAATGTTTCCTCAACAACAAAGATACATGTGGCCCACATGTAGCCATAGTGCGTATATGTGGATTAAATGTGTTAAACTATATCAATTATCTACAAGAAAGGTGGCCCACATGTGGCCATAGTGGGTTCGATCAATTTTATGATCAATTAATATGCAAACGATTTGATTGCAAACATGAAAGCAACTTTATTATGCCACTTAAAGTGGTTAATCTTTAATTAAATACATGATAAAATTATATGTGGATATCTTATGGGCCATACATTTAGAACACATAATCATACCGCATTATAGCCTCATTTTAAATTTTTAAAAAAGCAAAATGTGAAAAATTAGATGAAAATTAGATGTTGTTTTTTTATGGAACATACATGTAAAACACATATTCATGCCAAATCATTCCTACATATTAAATATTAAATATAGCAAAATGTGTTTCCATTGCGGAATACGTTGGAATAAACCATGACATCATACTGTTTACAACTTGGAAAGATTTAAATTAATATTTGAGTTTTGGTATACAATTTAAATTTTAAAATAAAAAATCAAAGTTTTATTTAATAAAGAGAAACATTTTCTTGTGTTTGATAGAATAAAACTACTACAGAAAGCGGGAAAATGACTCAATTTTTTTGATTACTTTAATTTTTTATTACTCCCGAAGTAAAACAGATTCAGAAATAAGTACTACTATTGAATGATCTCCGATGATTATTTCTACAAAATGATTTTGGTAAATATCACACGATTCTAGAGATAGCAGACGTCAGGTTTTACAAGATCAAACCTAAGATCATACCTAAAATCATCCTTATTTTACGTATGCTATCCCAACTATTGAAAATACCTACAGATAAATAATTATTAACAAGTTTATCAACTTTCCATATACTGTTTCTAGAAAAAAAGCTCCCAATAAAAACTCTCCTTACACTACCAAGAAAAAACATCCTCGCGGAAAAAACTTAAAAAAAAAACTTATTGAAAACTTAAACTTGACACTTTTCATAAAATTTAATTACAGCCATCTCAAATCAAAACCCCCTTTCGATGTAAGAACACTTCACAGCGCCTATTACTGTTTATATCATTTGAAGAATGTTCATTTTACTTCAATCATTCCCATTATAGTCAGTCAATAAAACAGAAAATTAAAAAAAAAGCGCAAAAAAGTTGTTAAAAAAATACAAAATATGTGCATAAAAGAAGATGACAAAATATATTGCAAGGTAAAATTTTTATAATTTCCTGTTTATCAATTTTTTGATGAAATAAAAATAAATTTGTCGTTAATAAATATTAATTAATAAAGATTCGGTGAGAATACTTTGAATCCAAACTTCTTGTGTACAAAAGCGATGTGTAGCTGTTGTATGGAGCCTATTGCATTGGCACTTCAAATACCTCCACTTCCTACCACTAAACTATAAAATGCTTCTAAAAAAATCCTGTTTCCATTTATAAAAAAGCACTAATGCCTTTATTGGCCCAGTTTAGCTGTGCGAAAGCAAAAAAATTGGACCATTTTGAGCAATATTTTAAAGACTTCTTTAATAAGACAGGTGCAATGAAATGAAAAAAATAAGGCATTCATCAGAAGTAGATTAATTTAATCAATAAAGTGGCAGATAAAAAATCCGCTTTATAACGGTTGCAGCATGCTCAGAAATTTGATCTCGGCGTCAAGTGCCCTGAAATGATTGAACTTTAATTTATCTAAATATTTATTTTAATTAATCTAAATCTAGTTATTATTTCAAAATATGAATAAATATTCTAAACAATTGAACCATTAAAATAACATTAAACTATATATTTTTTATCTTTTTTAAGGTTAGAAGTTCGCAAATATAAAAAACGGTTTGAACAGCGTCAATTATAATTTTTGTTTAAATAAAATTTATGTAAAATTGACCGACTAAAAGTATTGACTAAGAAAACGCTAACATGTAAAAACTTATATTGAACTATAATGGGACCAATATAGACTTTTAAGCTGTTTATTTGCGTTTTGCTCACCGATTACTTTGTGAACCTTAAGTGGCATCTGTTATAGAGGCCTGCCGATAAGTCTCTTACATGTAATATAGACGCTTTTCATCGGTTAGCCACTTATGGCGGCTGCAATTAATGGACCATTAAATTACAGATGAGCAAAGCTACAGTGAACCACTAAAATGCTTTTATAGGTTCACTAGAAATCCACTATAGTATGTTTGTCAGTTAACTTTATTTAATGCTATTTTGAATTGTTGCTATTAGTTGGTCAAACTTACGGTATTTTTTGTTGTTTTGATTCATTATATCTCTAGTATTTTATATAGCTCCTTAGACATCTTTTAAAACTTCATATGTTTTACTGTTTCCTGGTACCTAAAATACTTTTTGACGACTTGTGTAGATCTTAATATTTTCTACAGAGAATTCGTATCTAATATAGTTCTTGTATTTTTATACAATAATTGTGTTTTAATTAATTAAACTCGTCATTTGTTACTTGTATGCTAGAATATTGTCTACTTTTTGATATATTATGCACTCTGTGATATTACTTACGGGTTTCTGGAATTTTTCATTATTTGCGGTTATTCAGGCCTATCAATCAGAATATGACTTATATAACTGGAAACATTTAATTTAATACAATATGCCATTTTACATGTTGCCTTCAAAGAATGTTCGCTTTTTTAGGCAAATGTTAAAAAACATAACTCTGAATGTAAATACTTGTCAGCCATGGAAATATTAGACAAAGTCTTGAGATTTTTTGTCTGTAGAAATAATAATAATATACATAATAATAATAATAATAATATACATTTGTAAATTGCTTCCGGCTATTGTCTAATGGAAGTGCTCTTTAGGGAAGAAAAAAAAATTTCGGTTGACCTGCCTTACACTGCTACATTATCTGATAGACTTTTGTTGATGAATGCAGGTTTTACATAGTGTCTTAACCATGTTAAAGAAAGGATAATCTTATTGACTCAATAGTAGCGTTTTTTCTCATGTAGTGGCTATACGACTCTGTTTATTACTTATTAATGAGGGGAGATCTAAGTCTCACCTTAAACTTTAAAAAAATTAAATATAAAAAATCGTCATTACCATCAAAATATCTTTTTTTGTTGTTAAGAGAGTTGTTAAAACAGTTTTTTATTTGTTTTTTTAAAAAATATTTGTGGTATTTGAAGTAAATTTTCATTTATAGAATCTTAGTTTTTGAAAATTTTGGAAAACTAATGTTAAATCTGATTAAAAAAAAATAAATTTATTAAAATTTAAATTTAATGATAACAGTTACTGTTAGAATAATTTAAACTCAAATAACTTTATAAAAGATTTTATCATTCTGCTGCTTTTTAAGACTACATTTTTTTTACGCAATTTTATTTCAAAATAATAAAAACCTTGTCTTTATTTATTTACAAATAAATTGTTATTGGTAAATATAATGCTTGTCATATTGACTCTTTTGATATAGGTACCATTGAACTTGCAGGTACTAATCTGAAAACTTTTTTAATATCTCACCCAAACTAAGTTATCTCTGTAAGCCGTTTCCAGAAAATCCAAATCAATTAACTTCACTGCGTGATTTGTGTCTTACCTCTGAGCCTAGCCTGTGCTAGTCTCTTTTAACTATTGTTTGTGTTTTTCAAATCATGCTATTAAGTTACTAAAGTGTTATTTATTTCTTCTTCCACAACAGTTTCACTCTCTCATTGTACTTCTTACTTCTACCGTATACCTGGGTGGGATTCAAAATAAGGTTTTACAAGTTTTATCTACTTCTAAAGAATATTTAAACTTGAAGTTTTCTGACTTGTTATACAATATTTTTATTGAGTTTATTGATTTTCTAGGTATCAAGAATGAAGAGAGATTATCATCTTGTAACATTTATTTGTTTACTTACGATTGTGAGTGCTGGTAGGGAGATCAACTCACACAATAAATGTTTATTTTTCAAGGGTACTTTTTTAAATAATAGAATCTTGTCAAATGTTGATTTGGGTTACACGTATATTTCTTCATGTCAAAGAACAAGTAACAGTGATGGTGATTGGGTAAAGATCATGTCGTCCTCAACTTGGTATGAAAAGCCTGCAGGAAATGGAAATATCTATATATGTGTTGAACGTGTAGACATTTGTTTGGGCCTAGACATTAATTGGGCTAAGTTGCGAATTGAAGCCGTCGCAAAAAAGTTTAACGAAAAAGACATCGCTCAACAATGGAAACTTGAAAATAAAAAATTGACTAACGCTGAAATGACTCCATTATTTTGTGCAGAATTTCAAGATAACTTGGTTATGAGAAAATGCAAGCTTAATGAACCCAATCAAATAATTGACTTTTTTACGGCGGTTTTGTAATGAAAGTATTTTGAAAATTACGATTCAAAACTTTTACTAATTTTTATTCTTAACTGTTTCTAAATTATCATACAATATTATTCACATTATTGCATTTGATTTACATTCCATTCCATTTACATACATTTGATTAAAATTTCTAATAGAAATAGGATTATTACTATTTTGTTGCTTATAATAAGAGTCGCTTTTAAAACGCAAAGAAACCATGCATATCAATACCCTGTTGATATATGTATAATATAAAAGTTAAAAATATGTTTCAGTTTTTCAAACTTTTGTGTAAAAATTGAATTACGAAATTATCTAAAATGACAAAATTAGCGAACTAGTATGAAAATTTCGTCAAAATGATGCCGTGTACGTCGGCGCACTTAAATTTGTTTGGACAAGTTTATTGGAAAACGGATTGATAAATTTGAAAAAATAACTATAAATCTCTATCCTATAAAGTAGTTGTCTTTTACATTTAGTTAGTTTAGTTTATTTCGTAAATTGCACACATTTTACAATGTTACCTATAAGATCTAATAAATATTTAAACATACAATGGGGCAAGTAAAAGTCAAAATGTCTAATCATCAAGCCCCTTCGTGAAATTGAGAAAATACACTTTTCAAAATTCTAATACTATACAAAAGGATGATTCTAAAAAGTTTAAAAAGAAATGAAAAAAATATTTTAAAATTAAAATTTAAAAGGTTTCAAAAAAAAAGTTAGATTAAAATGGTGTAGAACTGAACACCGGAGAAAATTGAACACTTATTAAAATATTAATAATTTTAAATAAATTTGGTTTTAAACAAAATTAATTTAGTTTTATATCATAGAGAATTTTGTGCTCTATTTAATGACATAAAAATAAAAAAAATAATAAATAATTTTTGTATCAAACTCAAAGGTTTGAACATGAGTATTGATATTTTTTAATTTTATTATTATACTGTCGTAAAAATCTCGGGTAAAAAAAGGAAGTTTCGCTGATCAAGGATCCTTTTTCAAAAATGAAGTTGTTATTTTCTAAAAACTGCTATAACTGAATCACTGAAAAAGTCATATTTTTGGGTAATACTGAAAGCTTATATTTTTCAAACTTATATTTTAAAAAGCTGAAAATTTCCTGTACAAATCTTTGCTATAATTTACTTTTTACAACTTCTTGTACAGATCTAAATCAATTTTAAAAAATTAAAATAATAATTAATTACCAATTCTTTAACACGTTCAGTTTTACCCGAATAGTCAGGTAAAACTTAACACTTTTTTTTTCAAATAAACTTTTTTTTCTAAAAAATTTTAAAAGATTTTTTTTCTTTTTTAACATATTCGGATTGAGCTCATTTTTCTCAACAAAAATTATTTGAAAAAATATTTAATTATATAAAAAAATTAATTACAAGAATAAGTGTTCAGTTTCAACCCATTTTACTCTATGAAGTTTGCCAAAAAGAAAAAAGAATTTAAATAAAAAGAATTTTTAAATTGGTATTTAAAAGTACCGTAATATAAAATAAATATAAAAAATAACGAATTG